ACAGAATGTGGGACTTTATGGATGAAATTTTGAAAGTGAGCTTGCATAGGTGCTCTATGAAAAATTAAGTACATGTTTAATGACGTCGTTCTTGTGTTGTGTGTTTTTGATTGATGTGCTTTTCAGAACATATGTGCCCTGATCTTGAATCGGGGAAGGATCCAATTGATGTGCTTTTTTGAACATATGTGCCCAGATTTCTTGATCCAATCTTTCTTGATAGTAAGAACCATGCATTATTTTGTTATTTATATCATAATTTGAACTTCTCCTTGTACCGTGTCAAGGCAAAACTATATCCACAACAAAAAGATATGGAAGATCAAATCATGAATGCTTAGTGTGTATTTAAGAATCTTTAGACAAAATAAACTACAATTATTTCACCAATTATTTTGAGCCATACAAGTTGTATCCTTAAAATTTACTTAAAACATTTATTTTTATCACAAAAAATGATGCATGTTACATATTAATTTTGTTCACTCGAAGAACATGATGAAAATAAAAATAGTAGATGGTCGGTTGAATATTTTGTACCAAATTATTTTTTTGGCTTTGATACGGTCTAAACCAAATAAAAAAAACCTTAAACCCTAAATACTTTTTCAGTCAAAAATAGATAGGCCCCCCTGCACTCTTGTCAATACCACATGCAATGTAGCTGGCAATACCGTGAATGAATGAATATCTACCAAAAATTTGAAATCCGAGACCATATAGAGCAATGCTTAATTTGCCAATTATCTAATTTTTTTTTATAGCACTCAATCCAATTCTTCTCAGCTCTCCTCCTTTTCTATTTAGATAATTGGTGAAATAAGAGGGACCTCCAGCTGAATAGTGTTTAGGGTTTGAGGTTTTTTTTTGGGGTGGGGGGTGGGGGGTTGATATTACCTAGTCAACTCGGTATCATAGTCAAAAAATTAAATTTGGTAGCAAAACTATTCAACTATTGCTTTTCTATCCATCAAGTTCTTAGGATGAACTAAACTAATATGTAACATGTGTCATTTTTTGTGATAAAAATAAATATACCAAGTAAGTTGTAAGGATACAACTTGTACGGCTCAAAGCAATCGGTGAAACAATTGTAGTTTTAATTTGTCTAAAGACTAATAAATCCATAGTAAAGACTTATTATTTGATCTTTTGTAGCTGTTTGCTATGGATATAGTTTTGTGATGTTGTCTTGCCATAGTGTAAGGAAAATTTCAAATATTATGATGCGAATAATGAGATGATGTATAGTTTTTACTATCAAGATAGACTGGATCAAAAAATCAATGCACATTGTTCAGAAAAGTATACAAATTGGATCCTTCCCTCGATTCTATGATCGAAGGCACAAATGTTTAGAAAAGTACAACAATCAAAAACACACAACAAGAGAACAAAGTCATTAAACATGGACTTATTTTTATATTACATGTATAATATGTGTTATATATGGGTCTTGCTAATGTACTATCTGTAGTAGGTTAGCAACTTAGCTCCGCATCCATTTTTGGATTATCCAAGATATCCTTACTCTTCCATTAATTGTGGGGACTTTTTATTCTTTTTAACAAAAAAATAGAACCAAACCAGCCCTTTCCTTATCTTCTCTCTCTTCGACTCCCCCTAACCATCCCCCTCTTCGGCCGCCAACTTTTTCTCTTTCATTTCACAAGCCTTCTTTTTAAATTTTTACTTGTCCATTCTTTGTTTCCCTTCTCAACAGGTTTGAAGAGATTAGCAATATAATTACTAATAAGGGATGAAACCTTTAAGTTTCTATGCCTTCAATTAATTCTCTCTCACTTCCATAATACAAGAAAATATGGCAAATAATGAAGAAGATCAAACTCTTATGGTGTTCAATTGCAGAGAATGCATGATTTCAAAGGGGGATCATGAGTGATCTTAGAGGCTCCATTGCTGTTGAAACGTCTTCTTCTTCCCTAGGTCGCCCTAAAATCTCTATCATGCAAACAAAATGCAGTAATGAAAGTGGGTTTAATCAAACATATTATGGGTGTACCAAAGTTAAACATACATTTTAGTTTTTAGAGATTAGACCATGATATCCATATACTTTGATAATGCTTATGAGAATCTAATAATCTCAAAGGGGGTGGGAAAGAAGAGAAGCAGAAGAGAGATAGAGGGGAGAGAGCGACTCATTAGGGAGTAGGGAGAGGGGAAATGGCAGTACCAAATATGTTGGATTTACTTTTTGCAAAAAAGACAAAATATCCTCCCATGTTAATGTACACCAGTATACTTTTAAGGGTATTTTTGAGAATTCAAAATGGATACAATTGTCAATAAGAGACGATGCTCATGGTAATGTTTAGATCGGTGAATAAGTTTATTGAGGCGAATAATGAGGGCGGGGATACTGTACACCGGCTCATGGAGATGAACTGAGTTGATTGAAGCCCAACCTTACGATTTGTTAACTATGTCATATCTTCATATTGGTGTTGGGTGTGAGGGATGAAGCTGTCTTTTCTGTGAAGGAGGTGTTGAGGGTGCAAATAGCATACTCGGATGTGCATAAGGGCGTGTCCTACCAGTTTTCTTGTTTGCAGGGGAGGACACACATATGCTCAAGCGGTCACACCGCTTAGTAGGAAAAGTTTACTAAATATGCATATGTAATTAATTTGCAGAAACAAAATATGGGATATCCAGCAACCGCTTGACACAAGCTGCTCCATAGCTCGCCTGGTCGAGCACCTCTCTTCTAATTGAGGTCATGTGTTCAAACCCCGCCAATTTTTCATGCGTGTTTATTTTGAGATATTTTTGGCTTATCTGTGCTTAAAAGCAATATGTCAGCAGGGATTGAACCATTGACCTCTGGGATGGTAAGGACAAACAAAACCAATTGGCATGAGTCCAAACGTGTGATGTACGTAGAATAATTTATCTTTTTCTGCTGCTTCCATTGTATTTTTCAGGATGAAGTGGTTAAGACCAATTTGCAGAATCAAATAAATAATAAGCTTTTGAGTGATTGTTTGGTTCATTATATAGAAAAAGAATTATTTAGTATTATTCTTAAGAGGAGAGTCCGTGCAACATAGCCATTTTGGGATATCATATCTCTGGTCAAGGCATCCCCTTGTTGCCAAGGTGTGGATATGATCTAATATTAAAAATATCTCAAATCTCGCTTTAGAGATTCTTTGGCAAATAAGGAAAAAATTAATTAAGAAAACTACTTCCTCTGTTTTAGTTTATGTGAACCTATTTCCTTTTTGGTCCGTTAAAAAAAGAATGACCTCTTTCTAGATTTGAAGATAATTTAGCATAAACTTTCAATTCTACTCTCAATTAGAACCTTTTATAGTCACACAAATACTCTCGCATGTTTAACATCACACGTCTCAAAAGATTTATAGCCGCATAAATGTTACCCCCTCCGTTCCAATTTATGTGAACCAATTTGACTGGACACGGAGTTTAAGAAAAAATGAAGACTTTTGGAATTTGTGGTCCTAAACAAGTAAAAAAGGGGCCCAGAGTATTTTGTGTGGTTATAAAAGCTTCTCGTTAAGGGTAGAATTGTAAGTTTAAGCTAAATTGTTTCCAAATTTAGAAAGGAGTCATTCTTTTTGGAACAGACCAAAAAGGAAATAGTTTCACATAAATTGGAACGGAGGGAGTATGACTTATTTAGGACCATAAATTTTAGAAGTCTTCATTTCTATCTTAAATTCCGTGCTCATTAAGATAGGTTTACATAAATTGGAACAGAGGGAGTAGTATATAGCATAGTACAACAAATGTTTTATGCAGTAAAGCATACCATGTGGGATTCCAAATGTTTTATGATTTCTGACATGACTTCTAGAGATTTTGAACAAGAAAAGTTTAGTTTGAAAGACCTGAAGGTCTTGAGGACCGACAGAGAGATGAGAGATATATGTAGAAGATTTCTCTCTCACGCTGTAACCTGGTATTAAATGAAATGAACAACAACACAAATTTGTGGTTGTGATTCATTACCTTATTTGCCAAATAATCTCAAGTGAGATCTAATTCCGAAAATGGTTCGTATACATGATTTAGAGCAAGGAGATCTCTCAGACCAAGGACATGATTCCAAAATGGTGATCTGACTTTTTGAATGATTCTGAAATTAACCAAAAGTGGTGAAAGAGTCGTTCAACATCATTGAAGAAGATAACTCTCTTGGTTATGAGATTCTTTAGCAGTAGTAAATGGAGCTCAAGTATCTGAGCAAGAAAGATACTTTGGAATTGAAAATACATAAAGCAGATTAGTTTATGCGGGTAAATTTGGACAATCTGATAAGGATAGATACAAGCAAGTCTCGGGAAACATAGAGGATGGTGTACAAAGAGAGTAAGTGAAAGTCTCTGAATGTTTAATTCATGTATTTGTAAGTCTATACAACACCAATTTTGGTATATAATTAAAATAAGGAGAGCGGGTGAATCTTTAAAACAAACTGTTAAGACACTAGAATTTATTTTTAGTCATAGAGTTGAAAACATTTTTTTCATTGCATACATTAACATTTTATCAATGTCTATTTTTTCAAAATCTTAACATTGCCACAAAAACAATAACAATAAGAACTGACGGGAAAAGCTTCTTTTAACTTTGTTAAAATTTGTTCGATAATTAATGTTTTATAACAGCGAAAAGGAGAAAAAAATATGCATACAACAATGTTCAAATTTCAATATAGTGCATGGGCCAATCCTAACTAGCTAAATTCTTTTAGGCTGGACATTTGGTTTTAAAATAGCTAAAAAGTTCAGTTGATGATGTCTTTTAGTTGTATTAGTTATTTGAGGAGTGAGAAGGTAAGAGGATTTTTCTGTTACTAATACGCAGTGCATTATGTGGAAAATAAAATTTGTAAAATAGATGGAACAACTGATTTACTAGATTGAAGGGCTGTGATGCAGAATTATCCTGCTTCCAGGATTTCCTTTGCCAAGTTATATCCATGTCTTATAGCTTTGATCTTCCTGTCAGGAGGAGGGGAATTACAAGGATGCAGTCAAATTAGTTATTGACATTCGAGATTGTGGGTTGAAGCCAGAAATATACAGCTATTTGATTGCAATGACAGCTGTGGTAAAAGAGCTGAATGTTTTTGGAAAAGCTTTACGCAAATTGAAAGGTTTCGCCAAAAGTGGTGTCATTGCGGAGCTTGATTTAGAAAATCTAAGGCTCATTGAAGAATATGAAGCAGATTTGTTGGCTGAGGGTGTACGTTTGTCGAATTGGTTGATTAGAGAAGGAGGTCCTTCTCTTTTTGGGGTGGTTCATGAGAGGCTTGTTGCAATGTATGTATGTGCTGGGCGTGGAATAGAAGCAGAGAGACATTTGTGGCAAATGAAGTTAGTTGGGAAGGAAGTGAGCGGAGATCTTCATGACATTGTCTTAGCAATATGTGCTTCCCAGAAGGAGCCGGAGCTAGGCCCTATCTCAAGGTTGCTCACCAGAATGGAGGCATCAAGCTCATTACAGAAAAAGAAAACATTGTCATGGCTGTTGAGAGGTTATATTAAAGGTGGACATTTTGAGAATGCTGCAGAGACAGTAATTAAGATGCTTGACCTGGGTCTGTATCCCGAGTTTTTGGACAGAGCAGCTGTGCTGCAGGGACTAAGGAGAAGAATTCAACAATCTGGAAGCTTGGAAATTTACCTCAACCTTTGCAAAAACCTTTCAGATGCTAGTTTGATTGGTCCATGTCTTGTATATCTCTACGTAAACAAATATAGATTGTGGATAATAAGGATGCTATGAGCAACTTGGAGAAGCTGACCGTGCTCTTGTTGTTACAGGCCTTGATGTGTATACTATATATATATATATATATATATATATATATATATATATATATAGTCGCTCAAGTTCAAGTTCAGTTTCGTATATAATGTACATGTAAAACTACTCCACAATGAAAAATAAACTATTCCCTATATTTCAGTTACGCTGTCTGTCCCTGCTATTTCTTGTTTTTCCTTCTCACAAACTAAGCCAGCTACTTACAGCTTAATCATGGACCCCCTGCAGAAGCATGTTTAGGTGGGGTCGTTATGTTATCCATCATGCTGAAGTTTTCAAATGAAGTGATCCTGTATCTTTTCATTAGGGCGCCATTAGTGCTATATTCTAAATAGATGAATCTTTTAGAATTCATTAGGTAAGGAGAAGTAGTACGTTATTTTGCATTGCTTCTGGTTTTCTGATTTCTCTCTTGCGGTTTTGTACTAATCGGAGAATAAAAAACAATTTCTTTTTTGATAAACTGGATTACTTTTATTAATACTAACATTGTCTGGAAATATTACAAAGGCATTTTTATTGCCAAAATCAGCCAACTTGGTGCAAACTGGAAAATGTATTAGTGATGTGATTTTCCGAGTTAACAACGAACCAATCGACCAGGATCAAGATCTTGAAACGAAAACTTGTTTGTAGGTCGATTTCAAGAAATAACGTATCTCAAGTTTTAGGACTCGGAATCTGATGATTCAAAAATGAGGTGAAAGATCACGATCTGAACTATAAGAAAGACTATTTACTCGTTCAAAACGAGTAAATATTGTTGTTGCACCAGGTCAATGAAAGTTATGATTCTATGATATCAAAAGAATGAATTTAGATCAAGAAACGTGTTCTTTAAAAATCAAGAACTAAACAAGTTCCTAAAGTCACCACTTGGAATCAATTAACATAATAAAGAAACACCACACACAGTTGAAAACAAGATAAAGACTATCACCACCTTGCTTGGAACCAAAAACAAGGATAAAGAAGACAAAATAGAGAAAAACACTCTATTGTAAAATTAGGGCAAGTCTCAAAAACGTGATTTTCTCTCTACAAAGGCATGAGAACCCTTTATATAGGTCTAAGGTCTCTTCTTTGATGACTACACTTCCTATTCTGATAAGGAAATAAAATAACTAAAGACATTAAGAAAAGTAAAATCCATATTCTACAATGAAAAGAAACTAGAATCCTACCAAAAGGAAAATCCTTATTCTAAAAGGAATAAAATAAATCCTATTTTAAGAAGGAAAAAATCGTGGCTTCTTGATATCAATCTTGAGCTTCTCGGACTTCTTGAAAATAATTCCATATGTTTGGACTTGAGCTCTAAAACATTACCTTGGCCAAATTTAATAAACTTTAATATAGATTTTTCTTTTACATCACCATGGAACCTCCTCTTGAATGTGCCGCGTAAGAATATCCATCACCAAGGCAAATAAAAATGGGCTAAGCGCGGTCCCCTGATGCAAGCCCATCCTGACATGGAACTGTTCTGAGTCCCCTCCCATCGTCATAACCCGGGTCTTAATGCCATCACACATATCCTGGATCACCCTAGTATAATCTACGGGCACACCTCTAACCTCCAAATACCTCCACAAAACCTCCCTCGAAACCTTATCATAAGCTTTCTCTAGGTCAATAAATACCATGTGCAAGTCCTTCTTCCAATCCCTATAATGCTCCATTAGTCTCTTGATAAGGTGAATGGCTTCTGTAGCCGATCACCCTGGCATGAATCCGAATTTATTCTCGAAAATAGATACAATACTCCTTGCCCTAACTTCCACCATCCCCTCTCAAACTTTCATGGTGTGACTTAGCAGCTAGATGCCCCTATAGTTATTACAATTTTAGATATCCCCCTTATTTTTGTACACCAGAATCATCGTACTCCACCTCCATTCTTCAAGCATCTTCTTTGTCTTAAAAATGATATTGAACAATCTAGTAAGACACTCCAAGCCTACTATGTCTGCAGTCTTTCAAAATTCCACTAGGATCTCATCTGGTCGGGGCGCTCTACCTCTGCTCATCTTTCCCATAGCCCCCACAATCTCTTCAACCTTGATACGACTGCAATACCCAAAATCACAACGACTCTCGGAGAACTCCAAGTCCCCCAGCATGATGTCCCTATTCCTTTCGCCATTCAAGAGTCCTTGAAATGTACATCTGCCATCTACATCTAATAAGTGCATTATCCACCAATACCTTTCCATCCTTGTTTTTGATGCACTTCTGTTGGTATTGGTCACGATCCTTTCTTTATATCACCTTGGATATCCTGTACAACTTGTTGTACCCACCTTTGGCCCCCGATTCTTTGTACAACAGTTCAAATGTTGCATTTTTAGCCTCTGTAACGGCTAATTTCGCCTCCTTCTTAGATTTATTACACCATTCCCTATTCATACTCCTTTCTTCCTCTTCTCTGCTCTACACTAGCTTCAAATACGCTGCTTTCTTGGCTTCTATTTTTTCTTGGACTTGTCCATTCCACCCCCAGTACCCTTTATGTCCATTAGGGTAGCTCTTCGAGACCCCTAATCCCTCTCTAGCAGCTTCCCGAATGCCATTCGCTATCGAGGTGCAGAATATCGTCGTCGCCCAACTAAGTTAGGAAAACACCGTCATGTTGCTTAGTATCCCTGCATACCCAATTGAATAATTAATATTCTGTACATCTCACCATAATTATTAACTTTAACTCTTAAATCTACCATTCATAATTTGTAGATCGCACATGATGCAGTTTCCCAAATAAAAGATCATTATCCATCCTTCCAAAACTAGGAAAATTCTCAAAATTATCAAATTGCTGATGACTCAAGGATGGACCAACATGATTCATCCCTTCAAAAGTAGATAGATTTCTACTATTGATTTTTTCAAAACTAGTAAAATTCATATCTGGTAGGTAACTATATATATATATATATATATATATATATATATATATATATATATATCAAATAGTTACACTACAACAAAAGTAAGTAAGTATTTATCACTGAACATGTGAATTTTGTAAATCTGTCGACCCTCCATGCTGCTGCATTGGCGAGAAGTTATGTCATTGCTCCTCACTAAGCTGTGGAGATACGTTTAAGTCAGGCTAGACTCTTTCATACGAAACCTGTTATTATAAACAACTCCAAAAACACCTCTAGATGGTTGAGTGTTAGCCGTATTTTGCGGAGCATCAGTCCCGTTGACATCTTCAGATTTTACATACATTTTCAGCATCCTTATCATTGATTTTCATCATTATTGATGTTAAACTCGGCATAACAATCCACACCTTGTGGAGTGAGCGAATACAAATATGTTCCAGTTACCTTAAGATTCATCGAATGTTTAATCACACTTATTCTTTTACAAATCAGAGATACCAATGTATGGTACTCCAATATAAGTGACAACTTAACAATACTTTGTGGAGAATAACTATAGTTCACCAAGTCATTCTCTACCACAATCTCGCGGCCCCAGTATACATAACCCTAACTCTTCTCTTATCGATCATTGTAGAAAGATTCAAAGAGAACTTTGCATAGATTGATGAAGATGAAGAGAAATATAAATGATGCAGAAGAACCAAGGCATCAAATATAAGTGTCTTTGGCAACTGAAAAATATGCATATGATAAGTGCTTTGTCGTACAATTATCAGAGTTGTGATTCAACAAGTTAGAAAAAATGAGCATATAGCGCATGTATTACATGCGCTATACCGATGAATTATCATGGCAATAATTCGGATAGCAAGAATATTTGTACAGGGAAAAAGGAAGTACATGCACACATATAATACATGCGCTATATATAAATTGGTTCAGCCTTTTTTAGCACCTATTTTGATTTCCTCAGCCCAAAAAGGTGTTACTTTGGTTCTGAAATTGTTTCTCAAATCCAAAGGTCTTTTGTCTCCCGCGTGCTAGGTGATTTATTTAAAACACTTCTGATACAATGCCTTTCTATTTTTATAACTGGAAATTCTTTCTTTATTTTTTTTTATTTTCTAGACTTTTTATCACTCTAAGGTAATTGTAACACAATATACAATTGTAATTTAGATTGTTTAATATTATCTTTGTAACGATACAACCATTCATTTTGTGTATTGTAGCCCTGTTCCCCTATTTATCGCTTCTTCCTACTCATTTGGGGTTATGTGACTTGCTCGGGTTGTTGGTTTTGTTGTAGGGATGATTCGAAGTGAATTGGACACTTAGTCCCAAGGTTGTAAGTTTAAGATGAAAGAGTTAACCGAAGTTTGACTTTTATATAGATGACTCCGATATGGAGTTTTGATGGTTCCAATAGTTTTGTATGGTGATGGTGGACTTAGGAGTATGTTCGGATATTGGTTTGAGGTCCGTAGGTTGTTTTGGCTTGAATTGGTGAAACTTAGAAACTTGAAGGTTTGGAAGGTTGAGAAGTTTGATCGAGAGTTGACTTTGTTGATAAGAAACTCAGATTCTAGTTCTGATAGTTGGAGTAGGCCCGTTTGTCATTTATGACTTGTGTGAAAAATTTGAGGTCAATCGGAGTTGGTTTTGTATGATTCGACATTAGGTTTAGAATTTGGAAGTTCATTATCCTTGAATTGGGATGCAATTCGTGATTTCGATGTTGTTTGATATGATATGAGGCTTCAATTAAATTCATATCATGTTTTAGGACCTGTTAATATGCTTGGATAGGGTCCCGAGGCCTCGGGTGTGTTTCGGATCAAGTTCGGACTCATTTTGGACTTGGAAGAGTTACTGATTTTTGGGCATCTTGTTTCCTCTTCCTCGACCGCAAGGAGAGAATCACGACCGGGAAGAGTCAATTATGGTAGGAGGGTTTTTGTTCGACGAGTTCGCCAGGTGAAGGACGCGATCATGAAGCTTTGAATGTTTGTGCAACGCGAATGCGAGTGAGGGGTTGCGTTCGCGAAGAAGGAAGGCGAGGCCTGGGAATTTCACGCATTTGTTCTTTGCGGTGGCATTTGACTGTCCGTGATCGCTTAGGTGTTGGTGATTGAGCATCGCATTTGCGACTTGGTTATCGTGTTCGCGTAGGAGGATTTTTGCTACTGGAGATTTTATATCTTGAGTTGTAGAGCTCGATTTTGGGCAATTTTGGAGGTGATTTTCAAGATTTGGATCGGGGTAAGTGTTTTTAACTCGGATTTATTATTATTTCATGATTCCATCTTTGTGTTTAACATGTAATTAGAGTATATTAGTGAATAAATGGAGAACTTTGTGGAAACTTTTCAAAAATGAGAAATGTAGTTTTAAAGGTCGATTTGAGGTCGGTTTTGGATGATTTTTGTACGGTTGGACTCATAATCGAATGGGTTTCTGTAATTTATGAATTTTTCCGGGTTCCAAGGTGCGATCCCGGAGTTGACTTTTGATTTTGGTTAAAGACTTATCTTTATCATTTAGAATCAATTCCTATGGCTTTTAGTGATTATATTTAGTTGGTTTGGTTAGATTTGGTTACTCAGAGGCCGATTCGCGTGGCAAGGCTTTGTTGGAGCATTGAGTTACGCATTTTGAGGTATGTAACATTTCTAAACTTGGAATTAAGGGTATTTATCCCTGAAAAATGTGTTATTGGTGTTGTGTTGGGTGACACACATTCTAGGTGATAGGCGTGTGGGAGTTCACCGTGGTAACCATGATCCTTATGGATTTTTGTATTGAGTTCCTATCAAGTCTTGTTTTATCCATGGAATCCCTGCTTGATAGAGTAATTGAGCTATGATTCATGTTAGAAATCATGTTAGGCTATGTACTTATTTAGTTTTGACCTAATGAAGTTATTTCTATTGTTTTTGAGTTATCTGCTTTTACTGCAATTATGTACTCAGTCATGATTCTTCATTTGCATATTATATCTCAGTCTCTGTTATCATTCACCGTTACATTACATGTTATCATTGTTTGGATTGAGTGGTACAAGCTCTGTGAGCCCTTGAGACTTGAGATATTAATGTCTGAGGTGGGCCTGAGAGCCATTATGAGTATTATTATGGATCGGCCTGCACGTCACATCAGACCTTATTAGCTTATTTATTTTTGTATATCGGGATACACATCACAACAGGCCTAATAGACTTTATATTAAAGTTTGGGCAGGATCCGCCCCTTCGAAGTTTGACATCCAGCAGTGTGTGCAGGTATAATGTTATATATATACACATGCTTTGGTGAGACACATTAATGCCAGGCACCCGTACAATGCTGAGTGATTGTGTGTGTAGTTTGTATGGGCATTTGGAAGACAGATGAGTATTCTGAGAGTGTAAGCACTTGAGAACACCACTGGGAAATCATACATTTGATAAGCATATTGACATGTAGGCATAGAGATGTAACATTCCTCATGTTAGTTGTACTTGACATATTCTTATCAGTGTTGGGTTTTAATTATTGAACTTGAAAGCATACCGAAATTTTCTATAACCTGAGTGAGATGATTTTGAAAATTAATCTAAGTTGTTTATTGTTACTGCCATTATTATACTCGTGTTTTCATTTTATTGGATTCAGACTGTCTTCTTTTTAGCCCGTCACTACTCTTAGCCCAAGGTTAGTTCTGTTACGTATTGAGTACATGTATCCGGTTGTACTCATACTACACTCTGCAATTCGTGTGCAAATCCAGTTATATCGGGACGTGATGA